TTTATCATGCAAATTGTTGTTTTATAAAAAAATCACATTTCATAATTTTGGAAATGCATCTCCTGAAATAACTGGCATGCAAGGTTGACAGATTTTCAAATTTCCTCTGCACAAATTTGAAATTGTACTTTTGGAAAAGTCACTGAGTTGTTAAATTAAGAATATATTGATAGGATGAGTTCAGAGGTTCATCTCCGGACTAGCTTTTGAAAAAAAAATAGGGTGAGACTCAGTTAAAGCTTGTTTCAGTGAGACACAAAGTGTGTCTGAAGATGCATTTATTAAATTTGAGAGGAGGCATTTTGGATTTTGATAGGGTGCTTTTCCATATTCGTTAGGATTAGCATATCCCTTGTTGAATAACAAAAATTCCTTCATAGGGGTGGGAAAATGGGCCCGACTCGTCGGACATCTCTATTTTGCTCGCACTTTTTTGCAGGGCGGGACAAGATTTTAGGCCCGCACCCTCTAATGTGCTCGCCCCGACCTACCCGTTTTTTGTTGGCTTTTGAATGCATGAGTATTAACATGAAAATTTTTAACTTTTAGGCTTAAAAGATACAATTCCTGCGGGCCCGATTCACTCCGCGCTCATTTTTTCCAGGACTAGGCAAAGTTTTAGGCCTGCACCACAACAAAGCCTGCCCCATCCTGTTTAACCCTGTATAATATACATTTAAAAGAACACATTATATGTAATGTTAATTGGTACTGATACAACATAAGTGGCTAACAACTTCGTTATATATACATGTCCAAAAGAATAATATATAACTATATTCATGTTATACAAGATTTCCTAATTAAAACTTAGATATATGTACAATATTTACAATTTCACAATCTACAGTAGAAGATCACGAGCAAAAGTATTTGAAACATAATTAGACAACCTTGTCTTTTCCTTTAACCTGTAAAGGATCACCTGAAAAACAATAATAATAGTGGGGTGAGATGATAATATCAATAACTTCCTCTATCGTATGGGTATACCCAACTCTACAAATTTTTTAATTGATTCATCGACTTAAGTTTCCCAATGTCTTAACATGTGTACTCTCACACAATAGAGAAAGACTCAAGTATCTAAGGAATTTTTGCACTGTATGGAAACATGTACACTTGAGTTCACCAACTTAAATAAGTCACTAATCAGAAACCATACCAAGACATCTTTCAATAAGTCACTCATACTCTAGTCAACCAAGTAATACACACTCATGATGAACCTTCGAATCCCCACATACTTATTACCTTGGATTCTCTTCCGAACCAAACGTGGTTCGCTCTCGATTGCTTGCCACAAACTTGGACTCTCAAGACACAAAACTTATGTACTCGAATAAAATATTGTGATACTCTACAACTACCTCAATACAAGATAATCAAGCATACATACTTGTGACCAAGATACTATTATCACATACTTTTATGATAATAAGGTATAACTCTCTCTACTTCACCTTATAATCTATAAATATTCGTATATGAACAATCATCAAATGCACACCCCTATTTTGGCATCAATGACATATTCAAGATCCCAAAATACATTTTTCTATTCATACATGTTTTGCTTGGAATAGAAAATCATGTTCTCGAGCCTCTTTGTATTCTTCGCCTCTGCCTTAGATCCTAAAAAATTGTTGAATTTCAATACCTCTAGAGCCTTCAACCATTTTAAAGGTACCATTCCGAACACACTCCCTGAAGTACTCTCATTTATTCAAGATGCTCTAGTGACCTTACAAGTTGAGACACCGATACACCACCTCGGTTATGAACCTTATGGCATACATGCTACAAAATCATCCTTTCTCCATCATTTTATGGAATTGCATCTAATACTTGTTCCATACTAGTGGGTTAATCTTGCTCTAATAACAGGCTAACACATCTCTCAAAATTCTGGTGAAATCATCCCATATAATTTCTTAAATTTCGAACTCCTCTAGCACTACAAGATTGCGTAAACTAAGCGTCACCCTGCACTTCCACGTTACTTGAATCACAAACTCTTATTACTATCATTTGCGTGTCGATCGAAACCATTAATCCACCATACTTCCAAAATTCTTGGTATGACCCTACACACTTCACACAATCACTACTAGACATTCATAGTCCTCATGGTCACTCAAACATGATCCTACCTACTCTGCATATAGGATTAGGTTGATCAAACCCAATACTATATATTGTGACATTAAGAATCATGTTGGCAAAATACACTTATGAGGCATGAATTGATTTGCTTATGATGTTTCAAGGTTGGGTCAAGAATTGACCAGTTCTGATACCAATTATAACACCCCTTATAATATAACTCTAGAAAATACATTATATACAATGTTAATTGGTACCGATACAACACAAGTTCCTAACGACATCATTATATATACATGTCCAGAAGAATAATATACAACTATAACATATATTATACAAGAGTGCCTAATCAAAATTAATATCTATGTACAATATCTACAATTGCACATAATCTACAATGGAAGATCATGAGAACAAAAGTCTTTGAAACATCATTGGACAACCTTGTCCTTACCTTTAACCTACAAAAGATCATCTGGAAAACAATAATAATAGTGGGGTAAGATGATAACCTCAGTGAATTCCCCTATCTTATGGGTCCATTCGACTTAAGCATCTTAGTATCATAACATGTGTACTCTCACACAATAGAGAAAGACTTGAGTATTTAAGAGATTTTTACATTGTATAGAAACAAGTACACTTGATTTCACCAACTCAAATAAGTTAGTAATTATAAATCATACCAAGGCATCTTTCTCTGGATAACGCTATGTTTAGGATTATAGACACAGGTTACGGATCCTTGTATCATGCTTCGACTTCACATGGATTTCAGATTCTTCATGGGACTCGAACCCACTTCAAGAATCGTCGCTCCATATGTGACTAAAACTCATTTCGAGCCTTTTCCTCGTATGAGACTCTAACCCACTTTAAGGTCTACATATTCTATGAGACTCTAATCCATTTGGTTGATGCGAAGCAATATTTCCGTGTCACAATTCTTACTTTTCATAAGCATCGCAATTTGGAACAAGCCCGACAAGATATTTGTTTCCAAATACATGACTAGTTCATCAATTTTGCAACGTGATTGTATTCGTCAATCACTAGGTGATCATATTCACCAAGTCTTATAACATCTACTCATGTTACATACAAGGCATATTAGTTCATGACTAAGCTATATTTATAGCAACTACTCATCCACGGTACACACTGAGGTACCTTCGTATCTGAATATCGTCATCTAAGTCATTTGTCATAACCTAGTTTATTCTTACCATTCCATTCACCTAATTATAAACCCTAGTTTTAACCTCACTCATCATCAAGATTTTAATCATTTAATACATACACACAAGCAAGTAAAGAATAATATAGTTCATAACATACACACCATAATATCATACATGAAGCACATATAATATTTCATCACCAATAGGTCTTTCAGAATAAAGGTTCCTCACCAAATAGGATTTTGGAAACAAATATTCTTCACCAAATATACAACCAATAATTTGAACATAAACATGATTTCTCTTTACCAAAAGTTAAATTATTGGACTTGCTTTCCAATGTATCCGACCTCTCATCAATCAAAGTTATGAATCCTGTTATATGATGGAAACAGGGAAACAAGTCATAAGCATACATGATAGCATAACATCATAAACCAAGTGATTTTATTTTACCAAGCAGTAGAGCATTGGACTAGCTTTCCAACGCATGTGACCGCTCTTCATTCTAAGTTATGAAACTCATTTTATAGTGAAAACAAGAGAAGCATTTGATTGTCATATAGGTAAAATCGATGTATCAAACATGGATTGTCATATACGAAACTCATTTTATCTTTTTGAATATCTAACATGGATTAATTAAGAGCTTCCATATTTTTCTCACTTTCTAAAACTTTAGCTTCTAGGTATGAAAAAAATTCTTTTATTTAAAGCTAACCTCTTAAAAACACATATGGTTTCACCATATAGATTTTCAAAAACATTTAGAAATATAATATATTATCATTAAGTTCATGTTTAGAATAACTTACATTATTTTTTCTTTTGATGGACCATGAGGCAAAAATTTGCCGTCTCATCTTAAGTCAATTCTTATAATTTATAATTAAAGAGACTTATGTGAAATAACCATATGATTTTGAAGATAAACGTGGTCATGTAAATATAAATGAGAATAGACAATAAGTATTTATTGGATACTATTTAAAATTAATATCATGGGGATGTAGCTCAGATGGTAGAGCGCTCGCTTAGCATGCGAGAGGTATGGGGATTGATACCCCGCATCTCCAATTAGACCAATGTTTTTGATTTTGTTGAGGATTCACTGTTTTATTTTTAATTTGTTGGTATAAGAATACTTTGTTTTAACTTGATTTTGGTTTTAATAACTCATTTAAAGATTTTGTTTTACTTTAAAAATTGTTTTAACAGTATCACATTAATATGCCATCCACCAACATTTGGCATACGGAGAGCCTTAGAAAGCTTAACCCACATTTTGGGGTCATGATATTAAATATACGATTACACTTGATTTTCTACAAAAATCAAATTTACAACTTGGATCACTAACTCAACTAAAAAAACTACCAGTAAACAAGTCAGTATTCAAGGCAACACAATATTTGTATATGGACAAACTATATCCTATATGGCATACATTATATACAACTATCATAGACAACCCTCTATTAGGGTTTAGGGACATCTTTGGTTTGGTCTCATAGATGAAGAAGCAACATAATCTATAATCTAGTTCTTGCAGAGATAATTTGTAGATAATGGTCACATCATTGAAGTCATCATCCTTTTCAATTGATGAAACTTTGCATGGACCAATCAGTTACTGCAAAATAAAAGAAATGATAAACCAACCAAAGCCAACTTGTTGAATCGATGAGTAGAAACCAAAACAGAAAAAAAAGGCTATTTGCTTACCCTATGGTAGCCATTCTCATTATACATGGCAATCCCACAAGAGCCGGGAGTAGAATTCCAGAACTGATGTCCCGTTTCAAATAGTGACCTCGGAAGTTCATAATTGTTATTAACTTGATAATCTGTAGTATTTGATTTACTATTCAATGTTTGGTGATGTTTCGCGTCCTCGAGATCTTGCGAAGGAGGGTATGCAAACTGCTGCTCACAATGTTGTACATTTAAGTAAGGATTTGGATTTCCATTTAACTCGTTCAAGTTACCGTTTCCCTGACCCAAAGTAGTGACATTTGGAGAGCTTCCAACCTCAAGTTTGCCGTTTCCAATATAACCTGAGTACCCTGGGAGTGAAATGTCGGTGGAGCACTCCGCGTCTCTATTGCCATTATCACTGTATGTTATAGAATTGAACTAGTAAATGGATTGTAAGATGAATCACAAGGCAATATATATTACGCTCATAAGGAAAATTTGAAAAATCACTGGTCTAATTGTGATTGCGAGCTTCATATCATAGTTAACTCACCTAAATGGCAGAAATTTTGGTTCACTAGGTAACAACAATTGGTGATTATCACCACTTAGAAGCCAAGACAAGGGTTGAGATTCTTGTAGACCAGCCATCATCATGGGTAAAGTCATCCCTTCCGGTAACTATGAAGCAATGTAATCCCAAATAAGATTATCTCAAAAAAAATAGGAAGAGATAAAAGAGAGAGAATGCAACACTATTTACCTGGTTAGCACATTCAAGTGACATTAGTTGGCGTTTTCCTAAATTTTCCTGCAATGAAAATGGTATATCAATACAGACCATTTCATAACTCTTAATAGCAAGGATCCTCTAAGGGGATGAGAGCATGTTGAAGAACTCATCTAATATTTAAGTGGCTATTCATCAGAACCACTTGAAAATGACAGAATGATATGACCAATCGGCACGAAACCAAATATTACCTTTTGTATACACACCCGATTGATTGATTCCCTGAGCGAGTCTTCCATTTGTCTAAGATGTTCCAAGTTATTGATCTTCTCAAGATTACTCCAATAGCTGAGATATTGCAAATTCAAAACAATATTACTATGATGGCCAGTTTAGGTGTTTTTGACATATTTATGAGTATAGTTTGACATAAATTGACATAAATACACACCGATTGATATTTCTCAGTTTATGATAGTATTTGACAGAAATTGACATAAATACACACCAATTGATATTTCTCATTTTATATTTGACATAAATTGACAGTGTCTTTATCAGTAGAGTTTGTATAGGGAAAACCAGGTTCCCGCAAACACATAATTTTGGTGGTGGTTTTTTATGATGTGTGAAAGGTTTGGGGATGGGGGTAGAATAACAATGTATAGTTAACTTTGTTTTACCTCTCCATTGTTATGATTGAAACAATCAAAAGGCAAATAGATTGCAAAAATCTATAATGCTTGAATCAAACATATAAACATGTCTAAAATAAATAAATGTTCGTTTTAGCCTTGTTTTATAGGCGTGAGATATGTAAAATGGCATCATCTGAAACAACTTTGCCGGCATGTACACGATAATATGAGGTTTAAATGAATAGTAGTTCAACAAGAGAGCAATAAAATAACACCAAAAAAGAAAAAAGAAATACTTTAACAACCAAAAGCTCCAAAGTTGCACCTCAGTCTCTGTTGTATTTCTCCAAGTTGCGCTTGTGAAACTCTCACTTGATGACTTAGATCCTGCAAATGGCAATTCAACTAGTGACCATTTGGCCTTAAGATTTTGAAGTAATTATTAACCAAGATGATGTTTGTGAATAAATTGTACCTCCACCGTTTGACTGCTGCAAGATGAAAATAAGAACAAGTCAGAATCTTCAAAACCATTTACAACAAAGAAGACATCACAATAGGATAGTTACAATCGTTTACCTCGAACCCAAGAAATCTTGTATTTTTACATCATGATCCAATTTCTTGAAGGTTTTCTTCAGTGCCTACATTTTAAACAAGACCATATTTTCAACTTTTAAGCGTTGACAAAAAAATGAGGAGACAACATAGTATATGCAATATGAGAAGAGTAGAGTAATCTTACTTCAAGGCTTTCCATTTTCCTGCATAATTAGAACAAGAAAAGAGATTAATTAGCATATTCTTCATCATGAATAAATGAAAATAAAACTTCAGTGGAAGAAATTGTCTAACCTTTTGGCCCTTTCTTGTGGACTAAGTTGGGCAAATTTTGCAACGATCTCCTCCATATTACTGGAAAGAAAACCAACATATGCATAATTGTTAAAACTCATTTACTCGACGTTAATTATCGGCTTACAACTTTTTTTTGAAATTATTTGAACTCCGTCCCTCGAAGTTACTAGGTCAAGTGCATTGTCACATGCCAATCAATACATGCCTATTGAATCAATTATGATTTACTCATAGGACTGTCTTTAAGGACGTGCAAGACAGACTATGGTATAGAGTCCAAAAAATTTCACGGTTAAATTGTGATTAAATAGGGCTTATAAAATATCGTAAAGAGTTAAATCACTCTTAAATAAGGTATGTATTTGTTATGTCATGGTTAAATTGCTGATAACCTACACAAAACTCTAGAAAGGCTTTATTTACTCATAGAAATGCGAAATTGTTCATCATACTAGAAACATGTTACAGATAATGATTCATTGATATTGTTATTTATAATGTTATTACCTGCGCTCTCCTTGTAACAAGGTAGGTTTTCCTGTTGGAGAAAACATGAGAAGGAGAATATCAATATCACATAGAATTGATAATTCCTTTGCTTTCTTTAAGATTCCACTTTTCCTCTTTGAATAAGTCACATGTCTGTTGCTTGTGCTCTCCAATTTTTTAATCTTAAGTTTAACTCTCCCCATTCTGCAAATTTAGGATGAACACATTTTTAGGCTCAAAATGTATTAATCAAAGAAAGAGAGAGAGAGAAATTGAAATTGTAATAAAACATAAAATGAACCTTGTTGAGATACTAAAGACGAATATAGAAAATAATTAAGTGAAAGCAAATATGAATTAGCAATGTTGATTTATTTTGAGGAACATAGAGAGTAAAAAGAGAGAGAAAAATGATGAATCTAAGAGGAAATGAATTGTTGAAGACGATGGGTGTAGCTATGATTTCGGTGGAACGAGTTTGGGGAACCAGACAAAGTGAAAAAGTTGAAAATGAACGGTGAGATTTCACAACAACCATTTTTCTTTCTCTCTTTCTTTTTTTTCTCTACCTAACAAACGGACACAATCCTCTATCTGTCTCCTCCCTTACATTCCGGGAGCGTTTTAGTTTGTTCTGCATGATGTTGTCATGTAATGTTGTCCAAAATATATTCATATGGTGTCACCTTTTTCTTTTTTTGAATTTTTTTTGTCGTTTCATGCATGAAACCGTGGATATATAATCATCTTTAATTTCTTTACTTATAAGTATTTATTTAATTCAGTGAGATCCACACTTAGGTGCCAATGTACTTAACATGATTTTTTAATAATTTTTAAATTTTAAAGGTGTAATGTCAACGATGTTCACACTGCTCTATCATTATTATTTTGAGAAGTAAATCAAGGTTTTAGACTAACACCAGCAACTATGTATGTCGTGTCCTGCCTTATTTTTTCATGAGCTTTTGCTGGACGGATCTAAAGCGGCGAACATTGCTCATTTGTCATCACTACGAAGATGTTCTTGTGTATGGTTGAGTAGGAGGAAAATATGCATGTGTGAATATTATTGAGACTGAGGATTAACGGTTTTACTCTAGGATAAGCAACTCTCAAAGCCACTTCAAATAAAGTAGTTAAACATGAGAAAATGTGTTCCGACAGTCAACTTGATTTCATATCATTTTCCTTTGACACTTTTTCTTTTCTAGCACTAGAGGCAGAGAATATTTTACGAAAAGTCTAAAGACTCATGCATAATAATATTGTGTCTGCTCAATCAATAAATTTAGTTTTTAAGAGAATTGATTGTCACAAAAAAAGGTAATGTCACAACTTATTGCATGTTTGTAACTATTTCTATCAATACAAAGGCATATGTGTGTAACTATTAGGGTAGATTTGAATTGATGGAATAAAATTAGATTCGCCCTGCAAAAGCCCATAAAAGATGAAGTGGAACGGACATTGTTGAAGATGCGAGCCTAAAACTTCACACCGCAAAAAAAAAGGTGCAGGATAGACTCATATGCACTGCATCTTTAAAGACTAAAAATTAAAAAATTACAAAAAAATTATATTAATGCACTGCAGCTTTTTTTAGGTTGAAAAATAACATATTTGGTGACAAAATTTATTATTGTCTATTGTGCTAAATAATTTTAAAAGGGAAGAAATATGTGCTTTGCTAGGGAAAAGTAACAAGAGTCGACAAACTTCAACTAAGGAAGAATACCAAAAAATTCAAAGTACAAAGAGAGTGAAAGGTGTGGAAACTGGACCGAAGAAAGGTGAACTTCATATAAATCAAAGAAGACCGCCTATCTCATACAAGGCGATGGTTACAGGAGAGTCTTTTATGATGGGTAAGGAATCATTAAGAAAAGAAGTAGATACATAGAACATTGATTTTTTAGGTGGAACTGAAGATTGAAGACACAAATTGGCAGAGTATGAATGACCATAAATCATTCTCTTAGAGAAGGAGGAACATATAATCCCAGTGTCATCGAATAAGGGAGTCATTGTGAAGATGCTAGGAAGAAGAATATGTTTCAAAGCCATTGAAAATCGCATGAATTAAATAGGGACAAGGAATGAAGTCATGAGTATTGTGGATCTAGGGAATGAGTATTATCCCGTGACCTTCATAAATGAAGAGAACCAATATGCGGTGTTGATGGATGGACCTTGGCTCATATATGACCACTACTTATCAGTGAGGTGAGGGAAATCAAACTTCTATTGATTAGTAATGCCATAGAACAAGTTGTAGTTTGGTTGGTACCAAAGCAGGATGAAGAGGTTCGATTATATCCCACTTGATGTTCGTAGATGACTTACTCTTATTTGGGAGAGCAACTAGAAAACACATGAATTGTATGAATTTTGTCTTCACCACTTTTGTCAGCGGCCAGGCCAACGAGTCAGTGTAACACCCCAATTCTATCCCAAGCAATTTATGCAAAATAAATCAGAGTTATAAAATTTCAATCATACGAATGAATCGGGATGTCACAAATTCTTCTAACAAATTCATTGCATTCATCATGGATATATAACACTTATTCAAAACATCAGATGAACTAACAACATAACATCTTTCATTAAATATTCAACAACTACGCAGCAAAATTCTTCAATAACATCTTTAAATAATATAGCAACTTCGAAATATCCCGTGTTTAATAAATAAACAATTTAAGGTTCAACAACTAAAAATCAGCAATCAAAAATCAGCAATCGTTCATCCCCCCGAGTGTTACATATCAGAGCAATGACACTGACTCGATCTATTTAAGGTATACAGCCTTCACTCTCGATTACCTGCACATTACCAACATAAGGGCAACATTCAAACAAAAGGGGTGAGATATCTAACAATATAATAAAGCGCATGATAATCAATATATTAAATTAGATCATTCATATCACCACTTCTCATCTCATAATCAACAATAATTACAGCATATATATATTCATTCATCAACATCAAATACATCTCATTATTCATTCATATGATGCGACTCAAAACTATGCAAATGCATGTGGTACCATTGGAGCAGAACTCCCATCTCAAAAATCTAATCTGCCAATTAATAGAGGCATCAAATAAGGCATAGCCTTTGGAGCAGAACTTTCATCTCAAAAATTTGACAATCCAGGCCATCTCAAAAAAATGCAATGTATGCGACTCATCATGAATGTAATAACACACTCAGTTAACAACATCTCTAAACACATCTCAAAACAACAACATCTCAATCATCAAAACGACAACATTTCAGTCATCTCAAATAACAACATCTCAATCATCAAAATGACAACATTTCAGTCGTCTCAAACAACAACATCTCATAAACATCTCAGAACAACAACATCTCATAAACATCTCAGAACAACAACATCTCATAAACATCTCAAAATAATTTAGTAAACATTACTTACTTATCAAACATCATTTGATTAACCACATCTTACTAATAACTCAGCTGTATATCAATAATACAGTAATCCATACTGTTATTCTGCTACTGTACATCATTATTATCACTAAGTCCTACTGTCATATTTCTAACAACAACCTCTAACATCTCAAAATTCATCATTATGTCCTAAAAACAGCACAACGGTCATCTACGGGAGTTAATCCTAAGTCCTAAATTAGTTACTGGAATTACACCTCTTAATCATCATTTTAATCATCATTTTAATCATCTAAAATAAAGTTCATTGTGTTAGCTAATCAATGCTTCGAACGACATCTCAAACAGCATCCTAAAACTCAAGTTACAACAACTTAAAACTGATTATGTCAAAATCATTCAGTATGCATCGACACAAAACACTATGCATTGACTCATCCTGCTTCTTCTTCACGCTATGAGTCGATGCATCCCTCTATGGATCGACTCATTCCAGCTTTCAATACAGCATGTATCGACACATGCATCGCATCGGTCGACTCATCCTGAGTCTCACACACTCATGTATCGACGCATCCTCCCTTCGCGTCGACTCATCCTGAGCTTTACACTTAACATGCATCGACGCAAGCATGCATGCATCGACTCATCCTGAGTCAAACATCCTCCATGCATCGACTCATCCAGTTTGAGGTCGACGCATCCTGTGATTTTCTGCATAATTTTTCTGCGTTTCTACTATATTTTCACTACTGGAATATAATCACAGTCCTACAAACCTCATCCTAACCATGATAATTCATCACCTAATCATTAACCTTTAATGCTACATCGTGTACACAACATCATATCATCATTTATCCATCGAGAAATCATCAATCGTCATCATACATCATTCAATTCAATAACAAAACAGCAATCCTCTAATCCCACATATCAAATATCATTAACCCCATTATAAAGCAAGAACCCCACCCTTACCTTGGATCGAAGGTCGCTCTACAATTTCTGGGTTGAATTCTTCGTTCTTGCCGTTTCCTTCAAAACCAACAACTTCACGTTTCCACAATCCTTATTTTTCCTTCTACTGTTTCTTCTTTCTATTCTAACAACACATAATAACATAACTTAATATTATTAGATTATTCCTTAATAGGCTCAAAACCTACACCCCCCCTTAATACTTCCACTATCTCAAATTAAGCCCACCTTAAATAATATTAGCTTCTAACATTATTTCACATAATAATATAATACCTCGAATATATTATTATTTCTCCATTTAATAAAATAAATCCAATTTAATAATACTTCTTCACAATTATTCCAAAAATAATTTAATTAAATAATTAATTAAATTATGGGCGTTACAACTCTCCCCCACTTAGAATATTTTCTTCCTCGAAAATTTACCTCAATTAAACAATTCTGGATAGGAGTCTCGCATCTTGCTCTCCATTTCCCAAGTCATGCTTTCTCATGCAACTCCTAACCAAACCACTTTAACCAAGGCAATCTCCTTGCCCCTCAGAGTCTTCATTTCATGATCTGCGATCCATACAGGCATCGTCTCCACTGTAAGATTATCACGTACATGCACATCGTCCATATGAATCACATGAGATGGATATGAAATATACTTCCGAAGTTGAGACACATGAAACACATCATGCAAATTCGAAAGATTAGGCGGTAAAGCCACTCTATAAGCAACATTCTCCACTCTCTTTGAAATCTGATACGGTCCAATAAAACGAGAAGTGAGCTTCTTAGAC